CTTCCCCCCCCCCCGCCGAGGCGACGGTTACTTCTCCCACCCCCGATCCCGTACCTATGTCGCCGAAGTAAACTGTGGAACACGAACTTCTGGAAAAGAAAAATACACAAGGCAGATATTCATTATTTCATTGAATTGCCATTTATCTTAGAAGGTATTCGATTAAACGAATATGAAAAATATAAAATTAAAGCTAGGAAGACTTGGAGGAGATTTTCTCTGGAGAAATTCGAAATTTTGTGCTGTTGATTATGAAAGTGGAAAATGGAAATGGAAAATATTTTTTCATTGTGCAATGAAATATTTCACAAAATACAAAATAAATGATAAATTCAATTTTTTTAGATTTTTGACTTTCAGACCACTTTCATAATTACCAGCACGTTTATGAATACCTGTACAGGGTGTGGGCGGAAGTAATACAAATGGAGAGGAGATGATTTCTTATGGAAAAATTAATAAAAGATGCAGAATAAAATTTGTTCATCCGAGATTCAATTTTTGGGAAAATCAGATTTGAAAATATGTTTGCAGTTACGTATATAGTTAAGATACGGTTCATCGAACTTCAAGGAAGTACACAAACAAAATTTTATCGATAATATTTTATTATGGCGATTAAGGAACTGTTGAAACTGGCACCCAACGGATTTTCGAGCCTCTTCTTCTCAAAAACAAAGCCTCCGATGAGCAAATTGTGTTCTACATTTTTCATTTACTTTTGTACAAGGAATCACCTTTAGCCCAGAAATTTCCAGTAAGGAATCACCTCCAGCTCAGAAATTTCTAATTATACCATGTAATAGATCGTTTATTTTAGAATACGGAAGATGTTTTAGAAAATTAGAACGCGTCTCCATCGTTTGAAACTCGTGATAAACATCTCTGTGCCTGATACGTATTTATATTTATTTATTTTAGTTCTAAATTCGCTGGGAACTGTTTTATCGAATTTGACGATTATTTTCCATGCCCTTCTCTTAAAAATCGAATTAGAGTTAATAGAATTGCATAAACATTTTTAATAATAATTTAACAATAGTAATAATAATAAAAATGAAAATAATTTACTTCCGTCTTCGCAGAATACGATAGCTGCCTCGTTTGTTGGACACAGAATGTACCGATAAATGTGCAATTCTAGAAAAGAAGACGGTGCTTTTACAAAGTAAAGGTAGGTAATAATTGAGAAATTTAAAAGCAGTAATAACGAGCACATACACAACAGCAATTACATTTTATTCAATTACAGAAAATAAAGTATTGTTAAATATTACGACGAAACCGAATACTTTTTATTCCCAGATTCACGTTATCGAGTTGCTCGAGTGAATTGTTACATTTATCACGAGAGATAAGAAGTTTGACGAAATCGAACATCTTTGGTGTCTCGTTTATCGTAGGACAAATTGCCCCGTGTACATTTCCAATGGAAGATCACTTCCTGTTTCATAATTAGATTTTTTGTCAAATTTCAATACAAGTAGCAAGGTGTGCGGGATATTTTCTTCGATACAAACCAGATGCAAATGGCCAGTTGACTAAAATAGAGAAAAATCCGGACACTGTGCGTTCGAACGTTTGATTAATGCAGCTTTTGTATCGACAAGCGGTAATGTAAACTAGTTTTTCGTTTCTCATACACACACCCTTTTTTTCATGTTAACTTTCAGTCTGGTGACAAGATCATACCCTGTCTCATAACTTATGCGAAATAAATGGTCACCTATAGTAACAAATTACCTATCTTAAGAACAACTTCGTCAAACATCTCATATATGATTTAAGCTCGATAAATTTTAATCGACATTAACAACCTTAATTTAGTTAATCATCCAACAGATGCAATTTTTCAAAATTATCTTCTTTCACTTTCCATGCTGTGTTATCCTTTCCATTACGGCGGAAACGTAAGTTATAATTATTATAAATAACGGAGAAATTTATTTCTATACGCCTAGGGAATAATTAAAAGGATAGCAAAATTGATCTCTTTTGGCACACCAAGTTGAGAAAAATGTGACCGTTAAAACCGTACTTGTATACTTAAGAAACGTAAGTAAAAGAACATGGCAAAACTCGATGAAAACTTATGCAGCACACAGATCATCTTTCTTTCGACATTTATCGTAGAGGGTAGATACGTTTCTAAGTGACGCACGCCTTGAAATTTACGGGGGTTCCCTTTTCGTTCTTCGGATATGTGACTTTGAAATGTTATAAAAATAATATCCTTAGAAAAAGAAATTTAGTCTCTGTGACCTTAACTTTGACATATATTTTCAAGATTTTTGCTATAAACTAAACGCGTTGGGAAGAAATTCTTGTGGATCAGGTGGCGGAAGGGATACAATAACCTTTTCTACTCGCATATAATATTAATATAAACACTATTTATTTAAGAAGAATATACATATATACTCGTATATATTGGAATACGTATGGTATTACTGGACTATGAATATAATTGATATTGATCGATGTTCTTATTGGAAAAATCCCCAGGACTAGTATCGCCCTCTAGCATACTTTTTCTTCAACTAAAACAACCCCACAATTCTAACCTAACCTAGTTTCCACTTAAAATCAGAATTAGGTTAGGGTTAGGGCTCGTATAATTCGTCAGGGTTAGTATAATTTTTGAAAAGAATATATTTTTATTTTACAAATCATCGTTAAGAGGATACATTTCTGATATAATATTGAAAAATTGTTCAATAGGCTGAAAATTGCACATCTCAAGAACGAAAAGAGACCGCCGCAAAATTCAAACCGTATGTTACTTAGGAATGTAGCTTTTACAATATATGTCAAAAGAAAAATGATCCATGCTGTGTAAGTTCTTATCAACTTTTACCAAAAACATACGTACAATAAGGTTATTCTTGCAAATATAATTTAATGGAATATTCCGATACTGATAAAGACAGTGCAGTGAAATGCTGTTGCGATAGAGGCAATCGATCGAAAACGTTGTTAACAATATTTCGTGGGTCGTGCAGTTTTAACGTAAGAAAATAGAATTTCTGGCCTTGAGACTGGTGCACGTACATTCAACGCAATTGTGACAACGTTGGTCGAATGAAAATTAATTGACGCGAAACAAGCGCTACTGAGAGACGTTGATGGTAAAAGGTTTCGAACAATATATCGTGGAAACGATACAAAGTACATAATTATTACGTAAGCTTCATTTGCACTAACAATTATTCTACATTTTAGTCATCATCTAACAATAATTTTTTTTTTTCAAATTTTCCTTCCTCAGTTTTTCTCTCTCTATTGAGTATAAACGAATAAAAATAAAATACAGTTTTGGGAACTTACAAAGAAAATCTGCGATAAACATATGTAAATATCATAATGTGTACTGTAATTTAAAAAAAAAAAGGAAGAAGTTCTACAATTACGATCCTTTGAAAACTTTCCTTTCTTATTCTTTTTCTAACGAGTATAATTAAATAAAAATAAAATTAAGTTTTAGAAACTTATGAAGAAAATCTGCGATAAACGTATGTGCTGTAATATTTAAAAGAAAAGTTCTACAATTACGATCCTTCGAAAGCTCACCTTTCTTATTTCTTTTTTTTTTCGACGAATGTGAACAAATAAAAGCAAAATAAATTTTCAGAAACTTACAAAGAAAATCCGAGATAAACATAAACATCGTCACATGTACCGTAACATTAGAAAAAGAATGTCCAACTTGCCTATTATTAAATTACAAGTCGAGATCAGTGTGTTCGATTGTATTAACGAAAATTTGTTGGAAATCAGTCGCTATTATCGAACAAGTCTTAGCAATCGAACCTTGATACATTTCGCAGTGGTGAAAGAATCGAACGTACAAAACCTGTCGGTAATTATGGATCTCGCTATAGTAATATAAACTTGTTTCTTGATTTGCTCTTTTACCAACGATAACCAACACACTTCCTTACACTGTTCCATTCATGCTTCATTGAACA